CAGGGGGTTTTGTTCGCATGATACCACTTTAATTATTGAAGTTTGGTTGGTTGTTTTTGTTGGATTGGAAGTGGTTCTGATTTGGTTTTCTTGAATCGGTGCTTTCGGTTTCACAAAAGATGCTGGTAGCTAACAGTGATTAACTGATTATCTATGGCAAAAGGACGCGATCTTTTCTGCAGGAATCCACTGGACGCGCCCACGTATGCTTCTTTTCTTTTAGGCTCTAATTAAAACAAAACAAATTTTTTAGGAAGCAACTTCTTATGGAAAGAAGTTAACATTAACATTATACTAGTATATTGTATGATTATATGAATTAATTAGTATGATTTAATTAGAATTATTTATATTATATACTACTTTAATATAAAAATTAGTTGACTAATTTGAGTATATATTAAGAAAATTAGTTAATTGGTTATTTATAATAAATAAGTATGTTTTTCTTAAAATATCTTTATTAATTAAGTGTATTGGCTAGAACTATTATTATTATAAGAACTACCTTGAAAAAATAAATAAATATAAGAGACAATATGGATTGGGATTCTTGTATTTAGGATCAAAATGAAAGTTAAACAAGATTTTATATTAAAGATTAGAGGTAGTATTATTTTATAGTTCATGTTATTGATTGAATGAAAAAAATTTAAATCATTAGTCAATAATAAAATCCTAATAACTTAATTTTCATATATTCATCATGTTAGTTATGCTGCCATAGCCTTGAAATATATAATTCTATATAATTGACAAAGCTATGCTTAAGGGATATAAAAATTCTTAACATCAATTTACTTATTTGGGATCAAAAGGTAATTTTAATTAGAGGATTTCTTTATGACCAAAAAAAAAAAAAGAGGATTTCTTGATAAAGCAAGAGAATTTAAATAAATGAATAAACAAAATCGTCAATTAAGAGATCTACCATCTTTTCCCTTCTCAGTTCGTGATTCTTCTCTCTCATCTCACTGCACTGCCCCTTTTCAATTGCTTCTCTTTGAAACTTACCTTTTGTTGGGAAACACAAGAACAAAAGCACAAAGTCGGGGTCATTATCTACGGGTTCCAATTCTGTATCATTACTCACTATGATCATGTCTGTTGAGTATGGAGAATTAGAATGGAACAAAAGTATTTGTACATGTATTTTTTCTTGGTGTTTTATATCTCTTCCCTTTAAAACCAACTCCCCTTGCCGCCATATCTGCCATTGTGCAAGTCCTAGTGATGCTCTCCTGTACCTCTCACATCTGTTGCCTGCATATTTGTACCTTTTGTTCTGCTTAATTTTGCTAGCACCAATCTCTGCCTTCTTTCCTGTAACTGATGTGCTGTATGCTCGGATTATGAAGAAAGGCTAAGGAGGGGCGGGGAATTTGTCTCGCGTAGTCTCTAGTTTTCCGTCTGAAGGTTCTCCTTTTATCCATTTCTTCAAGATTCCCTTTCCTCCTTTATATGTTCATTTCCATTTCAGAATCTTTTATGTTTGAGGGTGAGACAACGAAATAGTTGTTGCCACTATGCTTATCTGAATAATAGAGCTACTGAAGTTTTCATTACTATTGTTCTGGTTGATTTATTTGTTTGATTTCTAGGGTGATCATAACATGGACATATTATTTTCTTCCAGAGTTTTTTTTTTGCATACTTTTTTCCGGAGTTACTTTGAAGTCTCCTGTGTTACTCTTTGTTCCCTCTGGCTCTGGACGATGTGGCATTAATCTGTATGTTAAAGGACGCTGTCATACGACTCACTCTTGTCAGTTTTTCTCATGTCCTTAACCTTGCCATTTTTTTTTTTCTATTATTATAATTCTTCATTTAGATTTTGAAATGAAATTTGGGCTTTTTAGTTTCTTCCATTGATATAAAAAAAAATTCAAAAGTAAGTATGATCAAAGCAACATTCTTCTCCTCATTCACTTGATGAAGGAGAAGATCATCGGATCTTTCTATTAAAAAATTGTAGTCTTTTTTTTTTTTGGGAAAAAAAGCCTCCCAGGTCTTGTTTAGGGCCAAGAATTTCATGTTCTCATTTAAATTTTTTGGAAGACAATTTATGATATATATTTAAACTTTTTAATATTAAGATATACTTTTAATACTATAGACATATGGATTTGTTCGTCCCCCCCGCAACTATGGTTCTGTCAATATATATAAATATTTAATCTTTTAAATGGTTTGTTTGGATTATGTGGTAACGCAGAATGTATTGTATACAGATATACCACATCCGGTCCTTAATATAAGAGTTAGTTGACTACTTTGAGTAGATTAAGAAAATTAGTTAAATTAGTTATTTATAATAATAGGTATTGTCTTTTCTTAAATATCCTTGCTAATCAATTGTATTAGTTAGAACTACTATTATTACAAGAACTACATTAGAAAAAAATGAATAAATATAAGATAAAATTATTGGGGTCTCATATTTAAGATCAAATAAAGTCAAACAAGCTTTTATATTAAGGACCGGTAGTAGTAATAAGATATAAACCAGAGTTTATATATTTAAAAGATCATTTTTGCATAGTTAGAAGCAATTTGTCCCAATGATTGATGGAGACAATTCCATTATAGTATAAAAATAATCTCTCTTTCGAACATTCAAACGGAATAAATACCATTTATCTGTTGCAATTTCATTTTACTGTAAGCTTTCACTGGAGAAGTGATTGTTTTGAAACCGATGATATGGTCAACAAAAGCAAAGTTAAATTTAAAGTAGCAGAGGTAAATGATTTTGTAAGCAAAGAGCATCTTTGATGCCATCGCTAAGAGGGCTGCCCATCATTCTTTGATTAAGTGGCCTCTGAGTAAGGCTATTTGTATGAAACTAAAGTATATTAAGCTTTGTAAGTAGACAGAGGAAGTGGGTCTTATTGGCGTTTTAGAAACTATGAAGAGTTACCTTCAAGGTTTTTAGGTATGGCTGATGATGTTTATCACTTGCTTGAATTTAGTTATCACATATTGCCAAATGATGATACCCACAAGTGTTGCTTTCTATATTGTTCCTTGTTTCCTAAGTATTAAATATAGAAAAGAAAAGCTTATTTTATTTTGGATTGGGAAAAAGTTTTTAGCTGATTTTGATGATAATATACATGAAGCGTGGAAATAAGGATTAAGATATAATTTCAAGTTTGAAGCAAGCTTGCTTACTAGAGGATTGGAATACCAAAAAAATATGTTATAATGCATAACATAGTAAGACATATGGCTACATGGTTAGCATATAAACATGCGTCAAAAATGAGGTACGTAGTGAAGGATGATGTTGGGACTGGTCAGTAGTCACCCTAACAATTGGGAAGAAGTTTAAAAATTATCTCTTTAGGGCTCACATGACCTAGAGGCTATAGGCTTCAAAGTTTCTTTAAACAAAGGTCACTGTTCATATATATTCTCGATAAGAGGGAGGTTTGAAGACCTAAAATACCTAAACATCTTAAATGTGTCAATCATAAGATTGCCTCAGATCAAAAAAAAAAAATCATAAGATTGCCAGAGCAGTTAAAGCATTTGAAGAAGTTGAGGCTTTTGTTGCTAAATAATATCACAAACTCAGAACAAAGATATTCTTCCGAGAGGCAGCTTGTACTATGGATGGCATGAAAGTCAAAAAGTTGCATATTTAATTATTTTTTAAAAATAAAAAAAATTGTACTACCTCCTATCTTTAATATAAGACTTTGTTTGACTTTTATTTTGGTCCTAAATATGAGACCACAATTTACTTTATCTCTAATATTTATGCTTTTTTATAAGATAATATTTCTAATAATAATAGTTCTAACCAGTATACTTGATTAGCAAGAGTATTTTAGAAAATATAACAACTATTTATTACAAATAACTAACTTAACTTATTTTCTTAATCTTCTAAAATTAGTCAACTAGCTCTTATAATTAGGACCGGAGGTAGTAAGAGTTGAGCAAATAATTAGTTAAAAGTTATGTCCTAACAATTCTAATTTGTACCCCTAAAACAAAAGAATAAACGTTGCATTGAAAGCATGCCCATTTAGTCTTAACTGTTGCTGTCCGTGAATGCATATTTATTTGAATGTTAAAGTCCCATGATCTTAGATCAAGTTGAGTTTAGAAGGCCCAGATAAAGGATCTCATTATTATCCTCAGAGGTCAATTGTGAATTGATATGAAGCATTAAAAAGTAAGCAAGACCAAAGTTTCATTTTCAGCCACTAAAATTGCCAAATCAATTAGATGGTTGAGTGAGTTCTGACTTGGACACACCCACCACACTTACATGTGCTTCATCTTTCCTTTTAATTTATTTAATATTTAATTTTTTTGGTCATCATTTATAAGACTAGTTGATTGATAAAGAAAATTCAGTTCCAATTTAATGCTTTCAACATAATTTGAAAGGTGCTTTTTTTAATTTGAATAATGTGTGAGTTTTACTTAATGGATTAACATTTTTCTACGTCAAAAAAACTCATAAAACAAAATTTTGTTCATTCTTACACGTCAAACTCACGTGGTAGTCACAACCTAGCTAACAAAAGTTATCTGGTTGGTAGTTTGAATATAACTTTTGTTTTTTGCAAACATATTTATTACTATAACTTAGAAAATATTAAAATTTATTTGTTTTTCATTAAGTAAATTTATTTTGTGGGCACATGAGAAGCGGGACCCAACTGTGAATAGCTTGGTAAAGCAAAGATGCAAGGCAAGAGGCACAAACACATTGGACGAAGCCAAGTAAGGATCCCACCTTCTTGTCCCTTTCCTTCTCCAACCGCCGACGCTTCCCCATCTCTGTCACTTACCTGACCTCTCATTGTTCTTTTGCATGCGATCTCCTAATATGGCCACCAATAATTACCTTCACACACAACATGACACGTGTCCTTGTCAACACGTGGGGGTTTCCAACTGGCTTCATTTTTTTGAGATACTGTAGAGGTGCACGCAGGGGATAGAACCCTTCTCCCAAGAAAAAGAGAAATGGTTGCCTACTGTGCCAGCGCAAGAAATTCTGGAGGCATCTTTCTCTCTCTTCCTTCTCTGCTTTGCTTTACCATATCGCAGAAGAGAGAGAAAGTAGCCATTGTCAAGTTTTCTGTCTAACCGGTAGTTTTGTTCGGGCGATACGTTTAATTATTGAAGCCTGATTGGTTTTCCCTTGGATTGGAGCTCGTTCGAATTGCAGTTTTGATTCGGTTCTCCTGAGTTGCTGCTTCCGGTTTCATGAAGATGCTGGTGGCTAACAGTTTTGATCTATGGCAAAAGGATGCTTTCTTTTCTGCAGCTGAGGAGGTGCAGGAATCAGCTGACACGTATGCTTCCTTTCTTAATTTGCAGATCCCTGACTCGCGGTTTTCTGTATGATTTTTAATTTTCGTTTCTTTGTTACTTGTAGTTGTAATTAATTATATGATTCGTAAGAATGCTTCTCAAACTCTGCTTCTTCGGGCTCGAGGCGATATGTGTTTGAATTATTATGTGTTTTGCGACGCCTAAATTTGGCATGAATTCCGATTTAGTAGCTCCTTTATTTTTAACTAGAGGAAATATCGGGGGTATCTTTCACATCTTATGTGGGCGGAAAGTATAGAAACGAGGGAGAGAAGAATGAGAGGCGTGGAAATCTTGTCCCCCCTTTTCAAATCTTATGGTCGTGTGTGTAATGGGCGTACAGTTTGCATCAAATAATTTGGAATCAGATGAAATAACTTATTCGCTTTAACTGGGAGTGATGTTTTGATATTCATATCCCAGCATATTATGCCTTACTAATTTAGGGGTTACTTCAGTTAGTTCCGGGGGGAATCATTATTGTAGAGTTTCTTAAAACGTCCATTTATATTATGTATTTGATTTCTGTCATGCAAAACAAAAATCATTTCCATTTATCTTGATTTCTCGTTTCCCAGAATGGAATCTAAATACAGGGCATGGATAAGAGAGAGGAGAGAAATGTCAGCTCCCCAGGTGTTAGACGAACTACGCAGGGAGTTGCAAACTGCTTTAGGTACTGCAAAATGGCAGGTAAGTTAATTTTGCCCTTGTCCTTACTTTCATTTCCCATTTCTCTTTAACTATCATAGACATTTGGAGCTCAAACTACAATGTTGTTTCATTTTATAGATTCCCCGACAAGTCAGTTATCGTCTTTTTGCTCCTTCAATCCCTTTGCAAATGTCAATATTTATTAATTTTCTGTTTTGATCATGCTGAAATAGTTGGAAGAATTTGAGAAAGCTGTCAGGTTAAGCTATAGACATCTTGGTGATGACAATACGAACAGTAGACACCAGCAATTTATTTCTGCCATAGAGAGCCAAATTTCCCATGTTGAAGCAGCATTGAGGGAATCTTATATTGAGGAAGGTAGGCAACCTCTTGGCTGGGTTAATCTGGACGATGAGGAGCGAGATGATCTAGCTGCATTTCTATCTGGAACCTCTCAGACTGTAAGAAGTGCCAAGGTTGAACTAGAGAATCAGGTCAACGGAAAAGATAGCAAATGTAATGTTAATGATGACTGCAATGGGATTATTTCTGCTGATCATACAGATTCGAAGGGTATCATTGCCAGTGACAAGGAAGAAAATTACGTAATAGACATAAAAGCAGATGCAGTTTCTGGAAGTACTGATGATATAGTTTCTCAAACAGATAGAACCCCTTGCTCAAGGAAAACATGGAGTTCATCTAATTATGGGGCTTTAAGAGTTGTAATTGCCGACGAAGACGAACAGAGAAATGAATTCAGGCAGGCTGTTGATGCCACCCCTAAAGAAAAAGGATCAAAACCCATATTTTGGAGACAAACATGGGAAGAATATCCTCGTTCCATTCAAGCAGTTCATATATTCAATCAGGTTAGTGAATAAATTTTTTAATTTTAAGATATGCATGCAAAACAAAACAACAGTAGTGCTCAGTATTGATTCTTCTGTCCTTTTAACCAGTATTTAAGATTTAATAATATTCATCTCAATACTTCAGATTTTGGCAGCGCATTCCAATAAGAAGTTAATGAACTTTTAATACTATGCAGCTTTTGAGTCGGACTGGTTGGTTATTGAGACAATTTCGCAGCCCCCTACACTTGCGACATAGTTGTTCAGTTCAAGTTAAACTTGCTCTGATGCTGACCGTATTTCTCATTGGTAAGCTTTGAATTACAGTGTTTAATTTATGTTTATCGCATTCATTTTCTCATGCCCTTGAGGCCAGTATAGAATATAAAGTGGAAATTAACTGTCTTTTGCTTTCTAGACATTACCTAGAAGATTTTGGCACTTGTTGCAATCTTTGATAATATGGTTAACAATTACTGCTTTTCTTAGAAGCATCAGTTGAGGATTTTATAAGATTTTGTTATTTTTAGGGGCATGCTGATTTAATGAGGGCAAAAGGAAGCCATGAATATAGGGATTATTTTTACTCTAACAGATGGATTAATGAAAATATACTCTTATAAAATATTGACGTGGTAGAGAGTGAGAAATCTTACAGTGGGACCAATCTATCCCTCTTCTCTCTCTCTCTCTGTGTATCTGTGTGTGTGTGTGGCTGTGTGTTTTACCAACCTATATATATTAATGATTTATGAGATTTGTCTCTTGCTTTGCTTTTATTTTACTTCATTTGATTCATTTTCTTAAGCAGTTACTTGGAACCATATTTTAAAGTAACACCTTCACATGGAGTATATTTGGGAGTTCTGGTAGGAAAGGAACGATTGTAAATAGAACATATTGAGAAGGGGGAGTGAGCCTTTACATTGGTAGGTTGTTTAATGAGAAACAGGAGTAAGAAGTGATAAAATACTGAGCATGTTTATGTTTTTTAAACAAAAACAGTGGATAGAACAGTTATGTTTGTTCTCAGTGAAATGAATTTTACTTGTTTTTATCTCTCTCAACTTCACTTCTAAGAAATTCAATCTATGGGACTGGTTTTGACCCTAGCGTCCTACTTTATTCTTAAAATCTAAAGAAGTAGGACTCTCTCTAAGAGCGTGTTTGTGACAAAATTATGTAGTAGGATCCATTAATTTCAAATTTAAAAGAAAATGTCAATTATGGTACAAAACAATATACTCATATGCAGCCCAACACATGACTGATATCTCATAACATAATATTATTCCCAAGCCAAATATGTCTCATTGGCTTTCGCTGCAATTAGATATTAGTTGATAATTAGCTGAACTTGAGTAATTTTATCTTGTTCTGTTTTGCCAATTATATTCTTAAGGTTATTCGTTCATGTTAAAGATTTCCATATGCATAGGTAGTTGTCATAGCATGATAGGGCTCTCGTATAAATTTTAAATTAAAAGTACCAGTTCTGGTTCCTGAGTTTTTGAAATACCCCTTGCTATTATGGGCGTTGTCTCTCCCTCCTCTTTTTACGCTTTGCAGTTTCCTTATTCCCCTTCAGTTTAGGTGCTGTTTTACTCAACCAAATCAATTGGTATTTCAACAGCCTTGGAAGTGTTTATTTATTCTTACACAAATAAACATTAGTACCTGAATCTGGCAAAAGCATATTTGTAATTCAATTTGCAAATAAGCTTGTTGGATAAGGTGACATCCCCCTTGGCTCCTAGTTGGTTGATTGTGATTTATTTGTTAAGCAAGACCTTTTTCTTCATTTAGAAGTCGCTTATGGGTTTTTCAACTAGCACGGGCAGATTTCAAAGCGACTTTTAGGTTTAAAGATATAGACGTTAGAGATAATCAATTGTCCTATCTTCTGTGTTTGAGATTATTTGAATTGATGCTGATTGTGGTTTGTTTGTTAAGCAAGACCTTTTTCTTTATTTATAAGTCACTAATGGATATTTTGAGAAGCACAGGCAGATTTTGAAGCGATTTTTGGGCTTAAAGATATAGACATCAGAAATTTATTGCTGCTGTCATCGTGTTTAACTGAATTGATGCTTCTAATCTCTTAATCAAGATTGCCATATGAATGATTCTTCGAGAGGTTTCCTTCTGTTAGACGCACTCATATCGATCTTTTACTTTTGCAGTGCTTTTCTTGGCCTTGTGACTGATAGAATTGAGGTCATTGGTCGAATGTTCATCTGATTGTATTGGCTTGGCCTCTCCCCGGGGGGGGGGGTGTAGGAAAAGTGCTGATGAAGATAGTTTCTTAAGATTAAAGAAGTTTTATCTAGTAATAGGATTTGACCAGGAGGCAAGAACGGGTTTCGTTTTTCTTTCCTGGGCCACGAATTGTAAATGCTTTCACTTATCATTTAATGCAAGTTTTGCTATATTTGGTGGTGAGATACTCCTGTTTGGATGCAACTTTTTTATTTAAAAAAAGAGCAAAAAAAAAAATTCATGTGCCTTTTATGCAAGTTTGAAATCTGAAATGCATCTTGGTCAACAACAAAAAAATCCGAAATGCATCTGACAATTACAAAATTCTTTTTGGTATCAAGACAAGAAGTGAATGCCTCGGAATTTTCACTTATACGACATGATGCGAAGGAGAAGGTGGTATAGACGAAGAACAAATTACATCAAGGTATAAGCTGAGTTAATTTCTGATAAGGAAAATGGCTATGACAACCGCGACAAAGATTTGAGGATGTGAAGAGGGAAAGATGAAGTATAGAAGCATATTACCATGGTAACATACAAGCCAATCCAAAATCATGATTTTTCTTCGGCCTTTTTCAGTTTCGGAGTGGCGCTAAGGATTAAACATATGATGACCTTACAAAAATTATGGGAACTTCTTAAGAAACGAGAGTTTTCATCAGATAAACAAGCTATGTACACGTTTTGATAAATTAGAACATTAACAAGTCGAATGCCAGACCCAAAAATTGAGTCTCCCAACAAAACAATGTACTGCACTCTATGAGGTGTCAGTAGTACCTCTGTAAGTTACGTCTCTACCCCAAAAATGCCTTCTCTTCTGATCACGAATTCGCAGGAGGATTCTGGCAAATGAGGAGCAAACACAACACTGAGCCTCCTCCTCGTTTTGCTCTGTTGATAAACCCCACCTCCTTCCTCACCAACCATGGCGTTTCCTCCTCCTACGACCACTTCCTCATTTCTCGATATGAACAGCCTCGAGTTCACGCAATTCGCCCACGCAATTCCTAACGCAGCGCAAACCCTTCTTCCCGAGGTACTTAAACTGCTCAAATTCCCAACCCTAATCCCATTCATACCTTCTGCGATTCCCCCAATCAAATCAACCACCTGGTTCGTCAAGACTACCGCCAATCCAAATCTCTTTGCCATTGACTTCAAATTCCCAGAAATCTTGAAAAATAGCGAAGATCTGCGCTTCAGATCGAAACCAGTGTTCTCGAATTCGGATCGAAACAGAGCAGCAATGGAATCGATCACTATTAGCCTAACAGGAAACTTCGATTTTGAATTCACCTGGAGGAATGACTCTATCTTGGCCATTATATCGAGCATCTCATCCGCAGAATAAACGCCCTGCACGAACACGTTGTCGCAAGGATCGTAGTTGTTTGAAGATGTGAAAATGTCCGAGTGCGAGGATAGAAAAGCGGTGGAGAGTTGTCGGAGACGGCGAAAGGGGAAGGGGAATTCGGTGTGGATATATAGGGATGAAGCTGATAAGCCGCCATGGGAGGGTGGTAATTGAGCAGAGAGGACAAGTTGTAGGCAAAACTGGGTCTTCCCAGAGCCGCTTTCAGCCACTAGCTCCGTCATGGAGTTGCAGGGGATGCCACCGGCGAGGAAGCGATCAAGTACGGGACAACCGACGGTGCACCTTTCGGTTCTAAGCTGCAAGAGACTTTCTGGAGTCATTTCTCCCTACTTCATCTCTCTCCACTTTGGCGTAGAAGACGAAGGGAAATTTGGGAGGGAAAACCAAAACCATTTCAGCTTCAAAATGTACTACGACGTCGTTTACAGAAAAGTCTGACTGCTACTTAAATTTTAAATTCTATGCTTTTACTCTCTTTTTTTTATTATTTGCCAGCAAAATTCCATGCTTTTGCTTTACACATCCCTCAATATATAGAATAATAATAACTGAATAAATTCTAGAACATGTGGCCCAAAAAAATTCTAGAAGATATTTACAAAATTCGACGAGGGATGAAGAGGGAAGAGGGAGCGTTCTGTTTATTTATTCCCAATGGTGGCCGCATGAGGGGTATTTTGGTGATGTTTCATTTTATAATTTTTAATTTATCATTTTTCCTCTTTCTTTCGTTGCACATTCAACGTGTCGGATAAATAAAAGTTTACATAATAGCAGTTTTTTTTTTGAGCTGAATAGTCCATATTATTAAGAAGCACGAAATGGTACACCTACTAACTGACATAAAGCCAAACAGAAATGGCGAAAGAAGGTACCAAAAGACAGAAAAAACCGAAACAGAAAGGAAAAGAAGCCATCAAACAAACTGAAAGCGGTTAACCAACACCAGACCTACCCTCCTCCTCATCCAGTCTGTGTACTAAATCTAACTGCAACAAAGGTTCCAGAGAAGGTGGTGGTTCATTGAACCATCCTTGCGGTACCACTCTTCTCAAAACTCCAGCCGCCAGATGATCAGCAGCCTTATTCCCTTTCCTAGCAACTAAAGACAGAACCCAATTATTCCTATCCTCAAGCAAGACGAGACACTTCTGCAGAATATCCTCACAGCCCCACTCACATCCTGTTATCTCCTTTTTCTGAAGCTTGTCAAATAGCACTTGACAGTCGGTCTCCACCACTACTCTCCCACTGCTATATTTATCAAAGCAATCTAAAGCCCCGAGCAGAGCCATACTTTCAGCCATGAACGCAGAACCTGCTACTACCTCCTTCCCAAAACCACCAACAAAGCTACCTTTATCATTCCTTGCAACCATGCCTACGGAGGCTTTTCCTCTCTCTTTACTAAAAGCTGCATCAATATTCAATTTAATAGTATTCTTCTCAGGCAGTATCCAGTTCAGCTTCCTTGCCACAACCTTATCTGATACACACCTCTTTTTCCTCTTAGCATCAGCCTCCCAGAAGTCACGTACCAATCTCATTGCTCTGCCCACACATTCATAAGCATCCGTGTCCTTCTTTTCAAAAACACATTGGCACCTAGCCTTCCATATTTCCCAGCAAATTGTGGCAAAAAGAGCTAAACCATAGTCATCTGGTTTTTCCTTGCAGTCCATCCAGTCACCTAACCATTTATCCAATCTAAACATTCGTCTCTCCTCAAACCTCAAACTCAATGGAGAGCCAAACCAAACCTGTTTTGCCCAAGGACATAAAAACAATACATGTTCAACTGATTCAGCTTGACACTTACAGATGTCACAGCATGGTGAGTTTGAGCATTTTCTTCTAAAAAGAGCTTCTCTAGTTGCCAAAGCCCCACTTATAGCTCTCCACAAAAAATGGGCAATTTTAGGAGGTACCTTCAGATTCCACACCTCATTCCATAGTTTTTTTGGAGTTTGATAAGAACTACTAGGCCCTTTTGTACCCTTGTCACTCTCCTTCTCCTTCGCCGTCCTGTACCCCATCTTGACACTATACATGCCATCTCTACTTTTCAACCATAGAATCTTATCAGGCATCTTTATCACTGGGATCTTAACTCCCTTAATCAGACTTATATCAGCATCACTCAACCAATTTCTGACATTATCAAAAAACCAGTCTTCATTTATGATTAGGCTACTCACAGATAGCTTCTTCATTTCTTCACTAAGGCTTCGATTAGACAACACATAACCAGCAGCACCCGGTAGCCATTTATCAGAAAAAACTTTTATCTTCTCTCCATCTCCAACTCTCCAACATAAATCATCATTTAATAATTCTCTGCCTTCCAGTATACTTGTCCACCCCCAAGAAGATTTATTACCTTGTTTAGCTTTCAAAAAGTCATCATGTGGGAAATAAATCCCTTTCAGAATCCTACACCATAGTTCATTAGGATTTTGTAGCATCCTCCATTCAGTCTTAGCTAAAAGGGCCTTATTGAAAAGCTCAAGATCTCTAAACCCCATTCCACCTTCGCTTTTCAACTTACCAAGAGATCTCCAAGCTTTCCAATGAATTCTTCCTTCATGCTCTTTCTGCCCCCACCAAAATTTAGCCATCATAGCATTTAAATCCATGCAAACCTTTTTAGGAAACTTAAAACAAGACATTGGAAATACAGGAATCGCTGTAGCTACTGCCTTCAACAAAATTTCTCTCCCTGCAAAGGTTAGTAGTCTCTGTTTCCAACCTTGTAGTTTCAGATTCACCTTATTCTTCACAAAATTCAATGCCTCAACTTTAGATTTACCCCACAGCATAGGTAAACCTAAGTATTTTCCAGGATTATCACTTGCTTTAATTCCCAATACTTCGAAGACCTCATTCCTCACTGCCTCAGTTGTATTCTTTGAGAAAAAAACACAGGATTTGTCAAAGTTTATTTCCTGTCCGGATGCATCACAGTAACAATCCAGTATCTCTTTTAACACTTTACAATTCTGTCTTTTTGCATTAACAAAAAATAATGCATCATCTGCGAAAAAACAATGAGAGAGGATAGGACACTCTCTTGCAAGTTTCACTCCTCTTAATCTGTCATTCTCAACATGCCACTGAATCATTGATGATAAAACATCTGCTGCTATTAAAAAGAGATAAGGAGATAAAGGATCTCCTTGTCTAATGCCTCTTTCCATATTTACATCAGCAATTCTTTTTCCAGAAACTACCAAACTCAAACTTACAGATCTAACACAATCCATTACCCATCCAATCCATTTTTCTCCGAACCCCATTTTTCTCATTACCTCTTCAATAAATTCCACTCTAGCCTGTCATAAGCTTTATTCATGTCAATTTTTACTGCCATCTCCATTTTCTTCCCTTTTTTCTTGTTTTTCAGGTAATGAAAAGCTTCATGGGAAACCAAGATATTGTCTTGGATTAGTCTACCAGTCACAAAAGCTCTTTGATTCTCAGAAATCACCTTTTTCATCAAATTTTTCAACCTGTTTGCCAAAATCTTTGATACTATCTTGTAGGCAAAATTGCACAGACCAATTGGTCTAAATTGTCCCACATTTTCAGCATGCTCTACTTTAGGAATAAGAACCACATTAGTTCTATTTAGATTTTTCAAACTCACTTTACCTTCAAAAAAATCAAACACCATTTCTACCACTTCCTTACTTACTATGTTCCATGAAGACTGATAAAACATACCAGAGTAACCATCTGGACCTGGGGCCTTTGCACCATTCAGTTGAAATGCTGCCATCTTGATCTCTTCGAGTGATACTCTTCCTTCCAGCCTCTCATTATCCTCAGCCATCACAGAATTTTTGACAAAGAATAAAGCCACCTGCATATTTTTACATCCAGTAGAGGAAAACAGGGAAGAATAGAATTTCAGGAAAGCATCGTTCACCTCATTTTCTTCCTCTAGCCATCTACCATCATCACTTTTCAACTTTGTGACTTTATTCTTTATCCTTCTTTGAATGGTGCTTGAATGAAAGAACTTCGTATTTCTGTCTCCATCTTGTAACCAATTCACTCTAGATCTCTGCCACCAATACTTCTCTTCCCTATCCCAAGCTTCTTCAATTTGCTGAATTAAGCTTTCAGCTTCTGCTCTACTTTGCTCATTCAGACTGCCCGATGTGCACTCTTTCAATTTTTGTGTCAGCTGTTCAACTTGTCTCCTTGCATTAGGAAAGGTTTCCCTACTCCATTTCAAAAGAACCTTTCTACATTCATCAAGTCTATCAATTAAAACTTCCACCTTATTACCGTTTCCTCTAGTCTGTTTCCAACCTTGTCTAACCACATTCAGAAAATCAATATATTCAGCCCAAAAAGCTTCAAATCTAAACATTTTGGGTACCCTTGAATGCTGAAAATCACAGTCCATAAGCAACATATGATGATCCGATCCCACAGGTTCTATATGGATTACAGTAGCATTGTGAAAATCCTCTCTAAACTCTACATTAGCTACTGCCCGATCCAATCTTTCTTTTACTTGTGCAGCCCCAAGCCTTTTGTTACACCAAGTATATTTAGCACCTTTAAAACCCAAATCTATTAAATGACAATCTGCCAACATACATTGAAAGTTTATTGCCCTTCCTATGTCAATTGGTAGATTGCCCCACTTCTCTTCTTCTGAAATCACATCATTAAAATCCCCTAAGCACAGCCAAGACCCTCTAACTCCACTTCCCAATCTTCTCATTTCATTCCATACCAACATCTTCTTATCATTACCAGGTGCCCCATACACAAAGGTCACGTACTTTGGTACAGTAAAAGAATTAGATTCTAAGGAAACATGGATCAAGTTTCTCGAGTTAAACCATATATTCACTATCACATCTTCTTTCCACCATAACGCCAGGCCACCTCCCCTTCCCCTTGGATCAACATAAAATTCCTCTTGCATCTGACACAGCCTTCTAATTCTTTTTACTTTCTCCCCTTTTATTTTTGTTTCCATTAGGAAGATTATAGAGGGTTTGTTCTTTAGACACTCCTCCCTCAACTTCTTGACTGTCAAGGTTCTTCCCAGACCTTGACAGTTCCAAGCAATCATCTTCATGGCTCCTTGGTGGCTGTTTGAGGCCAGCCACCAATACCTTCAGTCATCAAATCCATCTGGTCAACCGAAGTCAAAATTACCTCATTACAATTTGCATTCCCTTTCCCTACCAACCTACCTCTACCAGCTCCCCTTCTTATGTGTTTCTTTAGATTCTGAACACTCCTGCGGCTTCCTCTCCTCAGTGGTGTCTTTTTCTCCTTTTCACTATTTACCTTAGGTTCTTCAAAAAATAACTTCCTTCTTTTAGACCTCACACAGTCTTCCACCTCTTCCAAGTTTCTCTTCAGTCTTACCTTTTTTAGACCTGCAGTAACTTCACTCATAGGTGAAATCGTACCATAAACCACAATTGCTTTAGATAAATCTTCTCTTTTTTCTGGAGAAATAATATTCTCCATTTTCCTTGCACCTTCCGATTCAGTCCCTTTACCACTAGTCTTCTCTGCCCTGCTCTTTATAATTTCCCCAACCATATCTTGCCTCCCGCAGATAACTTGAGGCTTATTACTTTTACTACTGTTATTCTCATTAACAGCAACCTCATCTTTTTCAGGAAGTTTAGCAGTCATATTCTCTTTATTTTCATCAATCTTCGAGCTACCATTCCCTTCCTTATCCTCCACATTCTTCAAACGTACTACATTCTTGGATTGGGCCAGATTAACCCTGTCCTTCATTACAAATTCCTCCCATCCTTCCTCCCAACACTTAACAGCATCATCAATCATCCTTGCTGCTTGCACTCCCAACCATCCTCCATATCCTCTATCACCATCCTCCTCCCGATCTCTATCCTCCAAACAGCTCCTCTGGTCATGACCAATTCTGCCACATTTATAGCAATAATTCTGTAATCTTTCATATCTAGCTTTAATCCATATAGGATCATTATCAGGTCGAGGAGTCCACATTCCAGTTATCAAAGGCTTTTGCAAATCAACCAGAACTCTTACTCGTAAAAAACTTCTAATCAACAAATCATTACGTCTCGGATCTTCTACCATCATTACCTTCCCAATCATAGATCCTAGTGTCACCGCATTTTCTATATCCATTCCTGCTGAGGGTAGATCGTGAAATTGAATCCAAAATGGACAGTAATTGAAATCTACCTCCTTAAAGGCCATATACTCCTGCCATGGTTGTATATTCAGCAAGACACCTTGAATTGACCAGGGCCTGCCTCTCAAGATTCTCAATCGATCCTCGCTTCTTCGGAATTCAAAGATGAAAGCATTTCGTTCCACCTCAATCACCTCTAGGTCTTCTTTCCTCTCTAGATTCCATCCTTTCTTGATCATCTGAATCGTAATTTGACGATTTAACGATTTCATAGTGATTAGTTTACCAACTAGCGCGCCTCCATTCAACTTACGTTGTTCTTGCTTTTTCCAAACTAGATTCGCCAACATGTCACCGGCCTTCCGATCTGCATTCCTTTCACCTGAACTTCTCCCCGAACTTCCAACCTCCATTCCACCTAACTCCAGAAACAAGATAGACCTCACGATCCCCGTCGATGCAAAGAGCAAGGACGAGGAGACACTCTTTTACCTCCGTCGCAGTGGGCGGCGAAGGGAAGCACTCAGGCAACAACGACGAGAAGAAACCGTCGTAACTAACTCCCACTTCAGGAGAGAGAGAAACTCTCACACGGGAGAGTAAATTGTATTATTCCAATATAGTAATCTTCATAATAGCAGTTATACCAGACATAAATAAAGATGAAAAAAAGAAGAGGAAAACGGGTAAGAAAATCCTAAAATATCTACTTAACAGAAATTGCTTGACAAAAGCAAAACGTCTTCCCATACGATCCAAATTAGTCCGGCTCTTATACACAAAGAAAAGAATACAGCAGGCTCAAAACTATTTTTTTAATTCCATTGGCTTCCCTTTCCTTCAAAATATACTCTCCCTATCAAACGGGCTCCATTTTTTTTTTTTGGGAGTGTCTAACTTTTGAAGCAGGGAAAGGTGAAATTCTTTTATCACACGATTTTTCTTAATTTTTAAATAGTCTAGTCTGGCTTTTTGCCTCTTTGAATTGCCTAAACAAAATAATTAGTGGTGAGAGTAGAATCTTTTTCACAGGAGATACAAATTATTAATAACTGAGATTTTCACGGTCAAAATAATGAAAATATAGAATTCTCTGGAAAAAATAATAATAAACAATGCCCTACGAGCTTACAACTGAAGTTATTTCTCATGGGAAAAAAAATATGGTTGTTGGCCAATAGGAAAGATCAAAGATCTCATTGTCATTTTTCTTGATCTTATTTCTAATCAAAAGATCCTCTATGTTAACCCTATATATGATTTTCTTTTTCTTTATGTCCGTGTCATGATTGTATATTTGTTTCGTATAGCCACCGTCTGATTCTTAACAAAATAAACAAAATAAAAGGGGCAGCGAGTGAAATATATTAATAATATTCTTTTCTTAAAAACTGTTTTTGGACAGGAAAGGGCATACGCGTACCAATACCATTATATTATCCCTCATGGATTGCCACTGTACACCATCTTCCCTTCTACGCAATATCAAGATCAAATTTACTCATGATGACTAAAATGCCCTGACATGCACGGCAATCACCCTCATCGTCCGGCGCCGCCATGAGGTTACTGCCGGACAAATATGCATGTGCAAGTCACGTGACTTCTGATCAGGTGGCTTGTGGTACTGCTAACGACGTCGTCACCGATACACTTCTACGATCCCTACAAGTGAGGGCTCTCAGTATCCTCCAAGAACACTTAGCCGAGCTCCGATTCTCCGCCATCTTCCCTCCTCCTTCAATCACCGCCGGGAACATCCTCGTCGACGGGTTCCGCCGAGCCTGCCGGTTCTTCATATCGCTGAGCTCCATCTCCGTTGGTGGCTTCACCGTCCCCAGCATCACAGAACACCACCGCGCCTTCGACGTCGCTCTCTTAACCGTCGAAGAATTTCGCTCCACTTCCGGAGCCATAAACACAACGGAGCTCGAAGACCGACGAAGCTTGCGGCAATCCAGAGACCTGCTATTCCTCATCATAACGGAGCGGGGAGAATTGCTGGACGTTCCCACACTGTTCGATCGAGAAACATGAAATCGGACCCCAGAAATCGGGTCCGATCTTAGGCGTGGATTGAGCGGAATATTGGATTCTCTAACGGGTTTGTGATCAACGGAAGGAGAATCGGAATGGGGTCCGTGGTTGATGGGCTCGAGTTTACCGCGGAAAAAGATATCGTCGGCGGGGCACAAGTCGAGGGCGACGTCGTTGAAGAACTCAAACAACTCGGAAGCCTCAGAAAATGAGGAACGGCGAGCCTCCACGGACGGCATGTCGTTGAGAGGAAGGTCACACAGCGAGAGTGCCTCCTCCTCCTCCTCCTCCTGTTCTTGCACATATTCCTCTAATTCTGGGGATGAGGACCGTGGATAACTGGGCTGATGAATTACAGGGCCAACTTCATGAGCCATTGTTGATCGACAGAAGGAAGAAGGGTACAGAGAAATGTATTAGTGGGTAACTAATAATTAGTAGATTGTGATTTGAATATATATATATATATACACACGAAATGAAGAAGAGGACAAAGGAGGTTACGAGAAGAAGAATATAGGAAGCTTGTGAGGGGTGGCATGGATTTGTGGAGGATAGAGGGAAGGCGTTTTTGGGTGGGGGTTTGATTTGGACGATGGATTCTAAGAAGTATAAGCAAACAAAAGATAGTAGCGGGGGGCATATTCGTAGAGAGAGAGGGAGCACAGTGAAATGTCCAAACGACACCTCTGAAAGGCTGACATGAATGTGGACATTAGTGAGTGAATATTTTTTTTTTTTCTTCTATATTTTTTGGTGAATATTTTATTTTGAGTGAAGATACAAATATACCTATAAAATTATATCAAATATGTGTCTGACATTATAAATAAATTTTGGATGTAAAAATATACATGATGATTCTAAAAAGTTATAAAAATACCACAACCGTTAATTATTATAACATTGACCGTTTGTTTGTTCAAAAGTACTGACATGCATGCTAATATGGCTTAAAAAGTCTGATAAAGAAAAGTGAAGGTGCAAATATATTAATGAATTTTTGTCAAATGTACACCTAACACTGTACACAAACCTAAGATGCAAAAATACTTACTACTCCCTCCGTTCCTTATTATAAGAGACAAATAACTAAAGTACGTTGATCAAAAAAACAATTAAAATTAGTTAAAAACAATTAATGTGTAAAAAGTATAATTTTTTTTTCAAAAATGCCCTTATTAATAAGGAGAGAGAACAATTAAATTATTAAAAGAAAGAGAAGTGGAAGGGAGAGAGAGTGTGAGTTGGAGATAATAAATATGGGTAAAATAAGAAATCAACACAAAAAAGTAGAGACAACTTTAAGTGTCTCTTATATATAGAACATGCCATAAGCATCCAATGTCTCTTATAATAAGGAAGGAGGGAGTATCATTCAAAGCACTCTAAGATGCTATAGTTGTTTAATTCATTAAAGATGATTGTCTAACTTAAACTTTTGACCAAATGAGGTGACATAGACGTTAAGTTACTACTTCAGTCTTCCTCCTTCAAATGTAAGCCCCTCCTCTTCGCAAATTAGAGGAGACGTGACAAGCAACTGAGAGAGAGCAGCGTTGCTCTTCATAAAAAAAGAGAGACTTTGATAGAGGAAATAAAGAAGTTTTGTGAAGAGTTTCAGTTTGTTTCTCTTCAATGAAAATGCAACATTGAAGAGACAATATCATTGGGATCGAAGGGAGACTGAAACGCGATCATTTGAAAGAAAAAGCAAGTTGCACTTAAATGATGGAGACTGAAACACTAGCTTAGGATCCCCATCACCTTTTAGTCAAAATTTAAATTAGAAAGTCATCTTTGATGAATTAAACAATTGTAGTATTTTAAAGTAGTTTTGAAATGATCATATGTATTTTTACACCCAAGATTTGTTTATGGTGTCAAACACACATTTGGGACAAGTTCATAGGTATATTTGCACCTTCATTCTCTTTTATCAGACCCTCTAAGCCACATCAGTATCCATGTCAGCGTCTACGTCAACACCTTCGGTCAAACAAAAGATCAACGTTACAATAATTAACAGTCGTGGTATTTTTGTAACTTTTTGAAATCATTATATATATTTTTTGTATCCAATATTTGTTATAGTGCCAGACGCATATTTGGTATAAATTCATAGGTATATTTGCACCTTAACCTTTTTATTTTTCTTATAATCCATGTTATAAGCAAATAAACAATCTGGGTTGTATGAAGCATTAAAAATAATTGATAAGGATTGAAATTAAGATAGAAAAAAATTATTAAAGAGTGTTTATTATAAATAATTTCTCATTGGATAGGATTAGACAATCCCATGAAAGTAGAATTAGAAAATACAACATTCCTCCTATGTTATTTTCCAATATCATATATATGTATTTGTTTAATCCTAAATAATAAGTAATCACTCATTCTAAATACTTTATTAACATATTTTTCAATCTTAATCCCAATCCTTATCCTCATTTTTAATAATCGTACCAAACACACCTACATGTATTTATATGTCTTTGTGTTTCTATCTAAAGTGCATTTTCTATAATGAAAAATGAAATTATTTGGAATAAATTCATTCATAAATGATCACCAACAATTGACGACTACATAAGTAAATCAAGTTAATCAAAAATGTTGGCGTACGTTACCTTCCGGTGGGAAAAATACAAAGACACGCTTGTATCTGGAAAAGTTAACTCACGATCAAGAAATGAATATTTCTCATCAAAATAAATAAAAACGAAATTTCAAAATAAATTGAATTTTGAAAAAATCACGTTGAACTTGAGATGCTTGAATTAAAATCTCATGGCAGTTATTAATTTGCAGTTAAGAGAGCGGCGTAGCAAGAAATGAAGCCGGCTGTTGGATTTTAACCTTCCTTGATCATGTCAATTTTGATTTGTGTTCAAATATAAAGTAATTAATCAAAGTTGGCATTCTTTCTCTTTTTCTTTTTTTTTTTTTTTTTTGGTGAGGGTCTGAGGGAAGGGGGCGATTATTTGCGGTCCTTTTTTTTTTTGCCAAAATTATTTTTGGATAATTGAATGAAATGATTGAGGAAGAAGACTTTTTTTTTTTTTTACCGGCGGGGAAGATTTTATTGTTTACGTGTTTCACTGATAAAACATTAAACTGACAGTACATGTCTGATAACTTGGTTATAAACGCGAGGTAAATATGATAACAATACAGTTTCTCAAAAAGAAAAGCTCGCAAATTGTGTTCCTACAAAATTTGGTTCACTAAAAAATTGTTCGAGTGACCTCATAAACACTTTTCTGTAAATCGAGACAAACTCCTCCAATGTTTACTTTGTATTCGTAAAAGCATTTCTGAAACCATGATTTGTTCTTACCCAAACACTCCCTAAAATCAAATCATACATAATACTATCTCTGATCCTTATATAAAAACTTTTGACTTTCAATTTGATCCTAGATATAAGATCCCAATCCATTTTACCTTTTCTATTTACTATTTTTTTAAAGTAGTCCTTGTTGTTGCACATATTAAAAGTCCATCAAATACTCCTCTGGTTCTTAATATAAAACTAATTAACTATTTGATTAGATTAAAGAAGCTAGACAAATTAGTTAATTATAAGAAATATGACAGTTTTTCTTAAAATACCATAATCATTTTTCTTAATACCTCTCTTTCTCTTCTATTTGATTATGGCGAGAGAGAATCTAATGGTAATCTTAGAGAAAATTGATAATATGATAAATAAGTCTTATATTTAAAATCAAAACTAACTCAATAATTAGATCTATATCAAGAATCGAAGAAATAATAATTCTATTAATACACATTATTAATAAGAATATTCAAAAAAAATAACACATTTATTATAAATAACTAACTTAACTAATTTTTTAATTTTTTAAATTAATCAACAATTCTTATATTAAGAATCAGGAATAATGACTAGTACTCTCAATTTCTATTAATTTTAAATCAATCTGAATATCCACCGCATTTGTATCTCTGTTGGTCATTGCTTAACTCTTGTCCATTATTTTTAGGTACTGTGACTTGTTCTTAAATTAATTTGATCCTTTAACAAAAGGTCAAGCCATCCCACATTTTAGCATTTCAAAATTTTCTACAATTGTATGATAATTGTACTAATTATATGATCAGCATCTTCACATCTAAACCTGACAATTATGCATTAAAATCAAGTTATCCGGTCATAATTTATTAAAAAAATTGATAAGAAATGAAAATTTATATACGGTAAAGAAAATTGAAAACCTATAAACGAGTGAACACAGAACATAGAAAATTAAAACCGAAATTTGTAATCGAGCTCCGCCGCATTGTACTAAGTGCCACCCCTATAACCACCGTCCGCCGACCGCCGCCGCCACGTCCCTCCACTAAGCCCGATCATCGAACAAACCAATCGCTTCTCCAATCCTCTCAAGCCCACCATGCAGTCCATGCTTGAAAATGCGAAATGGACGAGTGCACCAACATAGGTGCTTCAAGGGCATACTTAATTTCATAAAAATTGACGCCAAGTTCGTCATCGGATTCTCCCAGCCTCTCTATAGAAGAAAATTATTCATTAATTTGGAGCATTTGATCCTTATTGTTCTTTCTTTTTCCGCTAAAGATCCTTATTACACTAAAACTTAAATTTGATGGACGAAAAACCATATGGAAGTTCAATCCCCAATTTTCTGATTGAAACCACGGGAGAAACCAATCAATTCGCGAAATAGTGACCAGATCATGAATGGCAGACTATAACAGTAAAGTTATCATTCAAAAGAAAGTACATTGTTGAAATTGTTATAATTATAATTCAAGAGGCGCCATATATCACTTCTTCACATCAACAATAGTTGCACAGAGAAAGCGAAACCAAAAGCCCTAATTCGTAAAATTCCCCCCCAAATACCTAAATCTCTAACCTCCAAAACCATAAAGAGTCCTGCCCTGCCTCTTCAAGGCGTAAACAACATCCATGGCGGTCACAGTCTTGCGACGAGCATGCTCAGTGTAGGTCACGGCGTCGCGAATGACGTTCTCGAGGAAGATCTTGAGAACACCACGGGTTTCCTCGTAGATGAGACCGCTGATACGCTTCACACCGCCACGCCTGGCGAGACGGCGAATAGCCGGCTTGTGATACCTTGGATGTTATCCCTCAGAACCTTACGGTGACGCTTCGCTCCCCCTTTCCGAGACCCTTACCGCCCTTTCCTCTTCCAGACATGTTTGATTTGATTCTTCTCTCTTTCCCACTCCCTCTTAAACAAAAGCCAAGATGCGACTGCGGTAGAAGCAGAGCTCTGCCGGATTATATAAAGTACGATGATGGATTGTGGATCGTTGGATTAGATATCGATCCGTGTTTTGGGTACGGTGACGATTGTGA